AAATTACGTGTCACGTTGTTTGTCTACAATGGACTCCTAAACTACTGAACCGATTTTAATCAAATTTTCCACACCGTGTGCAGTTTTATCCAACTTGAAAGATAGGATTGTTTATATCTCTATTTATAATCGCGAATGATTTGTTTATTAACAAAGAATCATGATTATCTCTGTTAATTCGATAAGATTCTAACAGATGGCGGTTTAAGGTAATTCGTATTAATAAATAATACACTTTAAACGATCGTGCTTGATAGGTATGAAGCTTAAGAACATAATACATATGTATGTGAATGTAAATGTTGAAAAAAACAAATGCAACGAGTAACACTTTGTTTCATCCTGATGACACAATGATGCACATTGATTTTATTATCAATTTTTTAATGATACCTAACGCAGTAAAAGATAAACAAAAAACCAAAAAAAAAAAAGAATTTTTTCCAAGAAGATTATTCTATTATGATTTTCCAATAAGCTTAACAACACATATACATGTAACACATAAACCGTATAATAACACCTACAGAATAGATTTGATCGTTTCGATATTTCACACCGATTATTATATAAATTCCAAATCGTTGTTTATTCATACACGTGTTTATTATTAGTTGTATGTTTTAATCGTAAAAGCTTATACGTAATCTTTATTAATACAAATATCATTCAATAATCAGTCAAATAATACTAATCGTATTACAAAAAGCTATTATTGTTTATTTATGCATTCATGATATGTATTCTGGGTGAGTCACTTAAGAGTCAACTATCTAAAAAAAAAACTTCGACAATTTTAGTGATATGTAAAAATATTTAAAGTAAGAATTTTTTGTTCTTGAAGATGACGTCAAGTTATAGGGAAAAACATTTTTTCCTAAGTCATGTCACCATAAGAGATTATAAAGATCATTATTTTATATTTTTAAATGTAGTCATGAATTTTTAAATAACCTAAAATCCTAGCTCCTTTTTTAAATAATCAACATTTAGGATTTAAAATTATGAACATAAAAAAAGGAGGAATATAATAATTTATTAGAAATGTTTCAGAGAGAGAGAGAGAGAGAGAGATTAATATTCCGTTTTGTGTCTAAATTAGAAAACTAATTATTTAGATGGGATTTTAAATAACTTATTCAGTATACTATGGTATATGTAATAATATGGTGTATATAGTATGGTATATGCATTAGTTAATGTATATTAAAATTTAATAATTTAATAATTTTATTGATATAATATTAAGTATAATAATAATTATATTATTATAGAATAATAAATTATATAATTTTATAATTTAATATTCAGTATAATATGGTATATTAATAGTATACTATGATATATATATATATGTATATATAATAATATGTGTCTATAAAGATTACCAGAAAATTGAGTTATTATTTTCAAAATCTTTGAGTCATTAAATTTTTCTCACAGTGTCAAGATATTTATTATAAATTAACTAACTTTTAATTGTGTGATTTTTTTTTTTTTTAAGAAATATGTCAACCCTTTCAGAAATATTAAAATAATAATAGAAATTAAGTGGTAGAACATTTGAAAGATGATATTTTCTTTTTTCAAGGATAGGTACACTTTTGTTTCAATTTATCAAAATAATATTTAATAATATTCAATGTAATGGAGTTATTGAACCATAGAAATCGTAGAAATCATTGGAAAATAGTGAAAACATATCGAAAAATATGTTTGTTCAATATGATGGGGACTTTTTACATTTTATGCAATTCCAATACAGCAGTTTATAAATCAACATTTTTCCGTTCTTGGCATTGTATTGAATTGTAATATAACAAAATATTGATTGTTTGAAATTGACAGTACTCCTATACAAATGTACCTCTCC